CAATATGATAATTAGCAGCAGGTGCAACCTTTGTTGTTGTTTGGTGCTCAATGAAGATTCTGTAAATATCCATTTATCACGTCCATAACACCACCAGCAGTCAAATTATTGGAGAGAATGATCAGCTGAAACAGGAAAGCGCATTTTCCTGAGGTATTGCTTTAACTGGCTGTCTAAGGGTTTATGATGAACCTTCACAGCTACTGTTGCAGCTCAAGAGTATGCATGTCTCTGTTCCATCTTATCTTCCCATTCATTACCCTTGTTGCTAGTGGTTTTATGAAGCGAATCGATCAGGGCGCCGGCATTTGATTATGAATATCATTGCGATATGAAACATGGACATGTCACGCTCGTCTCTGGAAACGCCAATTCATAGCGGAGCATATGAAAGTGAGATTGAATGCTTCAATTATGGTTTGGGGATCAGATGATTGACAGATACTGATGTAAGTGAACCGTGCAGATACTTTTGTTTGCAGGGTGACTATATGATGTATTAGATTATGAACAGGAGCAATCGCGCTGACTGTTGCAATTAGTAAACTCATGTAAATTCCCAGCCGTTAGTAGTATTTTCGATTTTTGTGTGCATTGTTAAATGCTATTCATTATGTCATGTAATTTTATCTGCTAGCAGAAGGTGACAACTGATGATCACATTGAGGTAATATAAAATCCCTATATTATGAATATCAGCAATATGTTATGAATATCAGGTTTCCAATTCCTCTGGCAAATATTGCATTTCAAGCACGGATATCGGGTTCTACGGCCAGAACGTATCTTCTCCTTGCTTCCAATCGTTATCGAGATCATTTATTTCCCGTTTCTCTAAGATACTCAGGCATCTGCGGCGCATCTATGAGTTGTACTGAAAAATGGTGCGTTCGAAGCCAAGGGATCATGACCTGCTTAAATGGTCCGAATAGGTGGTAAGGAATAAGTTTTCGCCTTCAAATCCGGTATCGATAATTTAAATGTGTTAATGATCACATCTTTCCTATGGCGAATATAACACATATTATGTGATGTGACAAAAAGGAGAAACTAGGAATATTCAACGCCCATTGACACAAATATACTAAATGTGATTCAATGGACCGCGAACAAAGGTAGCAGAAAGGATATCGCTAAACTAAAAAAGCTGGCACAGTAGGGTCTTGGAAAGTAGGACATGGACTATATGAGAAATTTAAGTTAAAATTGGTAAAATGAAAATTTTTTGAAACGTATTAAAGCAATGAAAAATCTCCCTAATCGATAAAAGTTGATGATAAAAAATAGGAAAAGATTGACGAGAAATAGAGATTGATACTTCAGATTCAGCAGCTTAGAAAACTCCATTCTCTTGGAAGAGAACCTGCGCAGAGCGAAGGCATTTCGAGCTACGAGTAACATGAAGAAACATTACGACTTTCATTCATGATCAGTTAGTTGGTCACGACTAAATGCAACAGTGTGAAAAGGGCTACAGCACCTGATTTTCAGGTCCTGACGATACAGATGGCGTTAAACA